CACATTCCACCCAATGGCAGAATACACATTCTTTCCAAGTGCACATGGAACATTTTCCAGGATGTAGGTTATATGTTAGGGCACAAAAGAAGTCTTTAAGAATTTAAGATTGAAATCATATTAAGTGTCTTTTTCGACCACAATGGTATAAAACTAGAAATCAGTAACAAGAGGAAAATTGGAAAATTCACAATTATATAGAAACTAAATAATTAACACAATCCTGAACAACCAGTGGGTCAAAGAAGAAATCAAAAGAGAATTTAAAAAATCAAGACAAATGAAAATGGAAACAACATACCAAAACTTATGGGATGCAGCAAAAAACAGTCCTAAGAAAGGAGATTATAGTGATAAATGCCTACCTTAAGAAAAAAGAAAAATCTCAAATAAACAACCTAGCTTTACACATAACTGAAGGAACTAGAAAAAGAAGAACAAGCTAGGTGCAAAGTCAGCAGAAGGAAATTATGAGTAGAAATATTAGAATATGAGCAGAAATATTAAGTAGAAATTAGAAAAACAATAGAAATGATCACTGAAACTAAGAGTTGAGTTTTTGAAAAGATAAAATCGACAAACCTGTAGCTAGACTAAGGAAAAAAGAGAGAAGACTCAAATAAAATCATAAACAGTGAGAGCATGGATGAACCGGGAGAACATTATGTTAAGTGAAATGGACCAGACAGAATACAGAATGAAAAACACTGTATCATCTCACTTATTTACAGAATCTTCAAAAAAGAAAAACAAAAGTTGACTATAAAACACAGAGTAGAATGGTATTTACCAGAGGCAGGAGGGGGAGGAAATGGATAAAAGGGTACAAATTTTGCAGTTAGGTAGGAGGAGTAAGTCTAGAGATCTAATGTACAGCATGAGAACTAACTATAGTTAATAATATCGTATACTGAAAATTTGCTAAGAGAGTAGGTTTTTGGTGCTGTTAACACACACAGAGGTAACTGTGGAAGGTGATGACTATGTAAATTTGTTTGACTGCAGTAATCATTTCATTATATATATCAAAATCTGTACACTCAAATACAGTTGTCCTTCAGTATTGGAAGAGGATTGGTTCAAGGAACCCCTGCAGAAACCAAAATTCCTGGATGCTCAAGCCTCGTATGTAAAACGACATGGTACTTGCATATAACCTATGGATATCCTCTCATGTACTTTAAATCTTCTCTAGATCATTTATAATACCTAATACAATGTAAATGCTATGTAAATAGTTGTATTATTTGTTTTATTGTTAATTATTTTTTAATATTTTCCATCTATGGTTGGTTGAATCTGTGGATGCAGAACCCACAGATACAGAGGGCTGACTGTATATATGAAAGAAAATAAATTTTAAAAAAACTTAAAAATTATAAATGAAAGAGGAAACATTATAACTGATAACACAGAAATACAAAGGACCATAAGAGACTACTATGAACAATTATACACCAACAAATTGGATAACCTAGAAGAAATGGATCGATTCCTAGAAACATAAAACCTGCTAAGACTGAATCATGAAGAAATAGAAAATATGAACCAACCAATACCAGGAAGATAATTGAATCACTAATCAAAAACCTCCCAAAAAAGTCCAGGATTAGACGGCTTCACTGGTGAATTCTACTAAACATTCAAAGAAGAGTTTCCTTCTGAAACTCTTCCCAAAAATTGGATAGGAGGGAACACTTCCAAACTCATTTTATGAGGCTGGCATTGCCCTGATACCAAAGCCAGACAAGGACACGACAAGAAAAGAAAATTACAGGCCAGTCTATCCCTGATGAATGTAGATGCAGAAATCCTCAACAGAATACTAACAAACTGAATTCAATAGCATATTAACAGGATCTTATATAATGATCAAGTGGGATTTATCCCTGGGGTGCAAGGATGGGTCAACATATGCAAATCAATAAATGTGATACACCATATTATAACAGAATAAAGGATAAAAATCATAAGATCATTTCAATAGGCATTTCACGAAATTTCATTTGAAATTTTCATTTGAAATTTCATTTCAATAGACATTTGATGAAATCTGATATTCTTTTATGATAAAAACTTTTAACAAATTAGGTATAGAAGGAATGTACCTAAACACAATAAAGGCCATGGGTAATAAACTCACAGCTAACATCATACTGAACAATGAATATCTGAAAGCTTTTCCTCTAAGATCAGGAACAAGACAAAGATGCCCACTCTCACTACTTCTGTTTATTATAGTACTGGAAGTCCTAGCCAGAGCAGTTAAGCAAGAAAAAGAAAAAAGGGCATCCAAATCAGAAAAGAAAAAGTAAAATTGTCTTTGTTTGCAAATGACATGATCTTATATAGAGAAAACCCTAACGACTTCACCAAAAAATTTATAGAATAAATGAATTCAGTAAAGTTTCAGGATACAAAGTCAATGTATAAAAATCAGTAACATCTCCATATAGTAATAATGAACCATCTGAAAAAGAAATTAAGAAAAAAATCCTATTCAAAATAGCTAAAAAAAAAAAAAAAAATACTTGGGAATAAATTTAACCAAGGAGGTGAAAGATCTCTACACTGGAAATTATAAAACATTGATGAAAGAAATTGAAGATGAAACAAACAAATGGATAGCTACCCCAAATTGTCCCTAATATCCAAAGCAACCTACAGATTCCATGCAATCCCTATCAAAATTCCAGTGACATTTTTTCACAGAAATATTAATAAAAAACAATCCTAAAATTTGTTTAAAACCACTAAAGAGCTCAACTAGCCACAGCAATCTTGAGCTAAAAGAACAAAGCCAGATGCATCACACTACCTTAATTGAACATCTACTACAAAGTTAATAGTAATTGAACAGCTATTACAAAGTTATAGTAATTAAAGCAGCATGGTACTGGCATAAAAGCAGACACACAGGCCAATGAAACAGAATAGAGATCCCAGAAAGAAATCCACACATTGATTTTTGACAAAGATGCCAAGAACACACAATGGGGAAAGGACAGTATCTTCAATATATGGTGCTGAGAAAACTGGATATCTACATGCGGAAGAATGAAATTAGACCCTCATCTCACACAATATACAAACACCAACTCAAAATGTATTAAACACTTAAAAGTGAGATCTGAAACTATAAAATTACTAAAAGAAAATATAGGGGAAAAGCTCCGTGACATTGGTCTGAGCAATGGTTTTTGGATATGGTCCCAAAAACACAGGCAACAACAAGCAAAAATAGACACATGTGATTCCATCAAACTGAAAACCTTCTGCAGAGCAAAGGAAACAATTGACAGAGTGATGAGACAAACTGACAGAATAGGAGAATATATTTGTAATCCGTATATAGAAGTTAATATCCAAAATTCATAAGAGACTAGTCAACTCAATAATAAGATTAAAAAATGAGCACAGGACCTGAATATAGACAGTTCTCAAAAGAAGGCATACGAATGGCCAACAGCTATATGAAAAAATGCTCAACATTCCTAATCATCAGGGAAATGCAAATTATAAATAAAACCACAATGAGATATTACCTGTTAGAACAGCTATTACCAACATAACAAAAGATAAGTGTTGGTGAGGATGTGGAGAAAAGGAAACTATTACACACTGTTGCTGGGAATGTAAATTAGTACAGCCATTATGGAGAACAGGATGGAGGTTCCTCAAAAAATTAGAAATAAAACTATCATATTACCCAGCTATCCCACTACTGGATATATATACAAAGGAATTGAAATCAGTATGTTAAACAGATAGCTGTACTCCCATGTTTATTGCAGCATTATTCACAATAGCCAAGATATGGAAACAACCTAAGTGTTCATCGATGGATAAAAGGTATTTTCTTTATCCTTTCATATATATGTATACGTGGTATATTTACAGTGGAATACTATTCTCCTTTAAAAAAAAAAAAAGGAGTTCCTGGCATTTGTGACATGGATAAACCTGGAGGACGTTATGTTAAGTGAAATAAGCTAGGCACAGAAAGACAAATACTGTATGATCCCACTTATATGTGGAATTGAAAGTAGTTGAAGTGGAGATGTTCGTCAAAGTTTCAGTTAGGGAGAGTAAGTTCTGGGAATCTATTATATAGCATGGCGACTGCAATGAACAATAATGTACCGTACACTTGAAAACTGCAAAGAGAGTAGATCTTAAATGTTCTCACCACAAAAAAGGTTAAGTATGTGAATATGTTAATTAGCTTGATTTAATCATTTTACAAGGTATACATATATCAAAACATCATGCTGTACACAGTAAATATATACAGTTTTTATTGGTCAATTCTACCTTAATAAAGCTGGGAGGGAACATGAATCACAATATAAAAAATATTTATATAGTCTGTCTTTGGAAAATCCCCAAGACAGGTCACTAATCTTTTCATCTCCTGGTTTTCTTACCTAAGTGATTTAATGCCTCTGTTTCAGTTTCTCCCCCTGTAATTTCTTGTCAGCTGCCTTCTTTGGAATATATAAAGACAAAGTTACATTTATGCCATTCTATTCTTTATGTATATGTTTCATTGATTTTTTTTTAACCTGGGGATGACCTATTACAGTACAAATACGACATATTTTTCACTTTAAAAAGGTTCCAGAATGTCAGTAAATCTTTCTTTATGCTAAGTTCTGCCATTTAGTTTCTTGATGAGTAACTGATTCTTGATGTGAGTGCCTGTTTTAAACTGTGTTGTGTTCTATTACTTTGCCTTGTGCTATGTTGACAGTTAATACGGTTTACTTAAAACAGTTTTTATCTCAGAGCCCTATTTTTCTATTTACTAAGGAGTGTTTTTCAGTACTCTCTAGTCAAAAATAAGTCTGGCACCTAGCAAGTCAGTCTAATTGTGAAAACTGTTATGATATTTAGTTTCAGGTTCCTTGCTGTATTTTTATCAGATTATTACATATTTAGAGGAGAAAATTTCCTTCTAAAATATATAAAAAAAATATTTTATGTATCACTTTTTAAAGGTTACAGTCTTCTTCGTCCCTTGATGATTCAAGTCCAACAGATTTAATGAAAGATACTCACGCTGTAAACTGCAGAAATGTAAGTATACTCATGTATGATAATATTCATAAAATGAACAATAAAATCTGTTTCTTGTTGATTATTTCTTTTGAGAAAAGAAGCCATTCTATAAAAAAATAAATGAACTCTTTCAGGCCACTCTCGTTTCTAAGCAGCAGTGTTAAATAGTGGTTAAGAGTGAGTTGTTGGAAGTGGTAGTATCTGTGTCCAAGTTACGACTCAGATACTGCTACATAACCTCAGGCTTCTTACTTATCTCTCTGTACCTCAATTTCCTCATCTGTAAACCAGGGATGATAATGTCACCCATCTCTTGGAGGAGCATGAGAATTAAGTGATTTAATACAAAAACAAACACAAACTTAAAACAGTGCCCGGCACACAGTAAGTGCTCAATAACAAATGGTAGCTATTTTTATTGTTGCTACTTGAATAGGTTCCAATTCAGTGAATTAAATGTATTCCTTCTGGTTTGAAAGAAAAGTTTAAATAATATAAGCCACAAGATAAATATCATATACTATTTAAGTCAATTGAACAAATGCTAGCTATTTGAAATGCATATTCAGAAATGACTAAACCTGTCTACAGCCATACCACCCTGAACGTGCCCGATCTTACCAGAAATGACTAAACCTAGTGCTATCTGGAAGGCTAAAATACAGTGTAATTCTAATATGGCATAGACAACAAAAAGCTCTAAAGTAGGGATGGAAACTAAGTAGTACAAGAATACAGGAGAAAAGAGGAATTTCATCTGACCAGGGCCAAACAGAAACCTGGAAACACAAATATATGTATTTTTACAAAAATACCACACATCTTCTGATCTATTATTCATTTATTCATATATTTAGCGAATGTTTACTGGGTGCCCATTTTGTACAAGGCAATATGCTAGAAACAGATTTAAATTGTAATAAACGAAGTCTCTAAGTAGTGCACATTATGTAGGCATTCTGTAGATAAAGTACATCAATTTAATGAGACGGCGTAGGTAAATGACTTCTTATTTTATGAGCTTTATTGATTGTTTGGCCTAGAAATTTGTGACAGTATGAGAACTTTTTGGTAAAAGCATCTGGTCTAATCTCTTACCCACTCTAAAGCAGTATTTCTCATGGTAGTTTTATATAGGTACAGTTTTGCCATCTTTTTTTTTTAAACTGAAATAATACTGACCTCAAGCATGAACTTTTTCTTCTTAATCCAAGACTTTTCCTTAGAGTATATACTTTCAGTTGTTAAGAATGTGGACTTTAGAATTAGGCAGACTTGGGTTAGAATGATGGCTTAAACACCTTGGCAAGATATTAACCTCTTTAGGCTTCAGTTTCATGACATGTAATACAGCTACCTCACGTTTGAAAAGTGAAATAAGATGATACATGTGGTGAGCTTGGCACATAGTACACAGTACATACAAGCTGCCATATTGATGGACGGTAGCAGTGATGCTGGTGGCAGGCTCATATCTAATAACTGTTGCAAGATCTTTATTTCATTCAAGTAGAAACCTCACTGTTTTTTATCCTGTCTTTTCAGATATCAAATAAGATGTTTCCACTAAGTCCTGAAATGGGGGAACTAGAGGCTACCAGGTCAAACCAGAGCACTGCTGCTGTCCCCAGTAATGAACCACTCCTCAGTAAGTTTTCTTTGGGAACTGCCTACCATTTTAGTTTACCAAAAACTCCTTATTAATCACTATGTTTGCAGGCACGGGACATTTCTAGGGAAACAAATAGTTTTAAAACTAAGATTTTTTTTCCATTCAAAGTTGTAAATACAATAATCATACTCTTAATTTTAAAACGTATGTTCTTTAATGGACCTGTCATTAAGAATTCAGTTATCAGCTGAAATCAGCTATGAATATTGTTTAATATACACAATTTAAATAAAACTAAAGTATTTCTATCTAGGAAAAAAGGTCCATTCTCAAGAATTACCAAGAATTTTTAAAGGATACGAGTCATAAAAAGCTTAAGATATAATCATTCATTTTAACAATGTTTATGCAAAGTCCAAATTAAGTTAATTGAAATGACATGGTGTCTTAGTCTGTTTATGCTGCTGTAACAGAATCACCATAGCCTGGGTAATTTATAATGAACAGAAATTTATTTGGTTCACAGTTCTGGAGCTGGGAAGTCCAAGAGCATGGTGCGGGCATCTAGCAAGGGCCTTTATGTTTCATTATCCCATGGCAGAAGACAGAAGGGCAAGAGAGGGTGAGAACGAGGAAGCAAGAGGTGGCTAAACTTGATTTTATAGCAAAGCCATTCTCAAGATAACTAACCAACTCCCACAGTTATTAAATGAATCCATTTGTAAGGGCAGATCCCTCATGACCTAATCACCTCTTATTAGGCCCCACCTTTCAATACCGTTGCATTGGGGATTAAGTTTCCAACACATGAACTTCAGTGAACACATTCAAACCATTGTACATCGTTTCATATCCCCCATAACTGATATTGCTCTGCTGAAAGCATATGTTAGAGAATCAAAGGACGTGAAGGAACTTGGATATCAGCTTCACACACACATAGAGCCACATTTAATCATCTCAAATTCTATTGTGCTTTGAAAGATATATAGAAGCCTTCAGTTAATCTTTATCTGCATTTTAACCCTTAATTTCTAGAACCTCTTCTTATGGCTAACTTAAATCTCATCTTCATCGTTCCTTGTTTCCTTTTTCAGTCAAAAATCTGGTTACCTTTGTAGAGATCTTTCACCTCCTTGGTTAAATAACTACAAATCACTGAGGAAGGAAATTGCAGATGATGTAAACAAATGGAAAAGCATTTCGTGTTCATGGATCAGTCGGCAGAATCAACATTGTTAAAATGGCCATACTACCCAAAGTGATTTACAGATTCAATGCAGTCCGCATCAAAATACCATCATTTTTCACATATCTAGAAAAAATAATTCTACGCTTCATTTAGAACCAGAAGAGAGCCTGAATAGCCAAAGCAACCTGAAGCAAAAGGAACAAATCTGGAGGCATCACTTTATCAGACTTTAAGCTATACTACAAGGATATATAACCAAAACAGTGTGGGACTGGCACAAAAATAGAGACATAGACCAATGGAACAGAACTGAGAACCCAGATATAAAACCATCCACATAGAGCCATCTGATCTTTGACAAAGTAGACAGCAATATACACTGGGGGAAAGAATCCCTATTCAATAAATGATCCTGGGAAAATTGGATAGCCACATGTAAAAGATTGAAACAGGATCCATATCTCTTACCACTCACAAAAATTAATTGAAGATGGATGACAGACTTATAAATCTAAGACATAAAACCATAGGAATTCTAGAAGAAAATGTTGGAAAAACTCTTCTAGATATTGGCCTAGGCAAAGAATTTATGAAGAAGACCCCAAGGGCAATCACAGCAACAACAGAAATAAATAAATGGGCCTTGATTAAATTAAAAAGCTTCTGCACAGCCATGGAAACAATCAACAGAGCAAATAGACAACAGAATGGGAGAAAATATTCTCATGTTACACATTCAATAAAGGGCTAATAACCAGAATCTACAAAGAACTCAAGCAAACCAGCAAGAAAAAAAATCAAACAACCCCATTAAAAAGTGGGCAAAAGACATGAACAAAAGCTTTTCAAAAGAAGATAGACTGATGGCCAATAAATGTATGAAAAAATGCTTAATGTCACTAATCATCAGAGAAATGCAAATCAAAACCACAACGAGATGTCACCTAACCCCAGTGAAAATGGCTTTTATCAAAAAGTCCCAAAACAATAGATGCTGGCGAGGATGCGGAGAGAGAGAAACACTTAAACCTTGTTGGTGGGACTGCAAACTAGTACAACCTCTATGCAAAATAGTATGGAGATTCCTCAAAGAACTAAAAGTAGACCTGTAATTTATCCAGCAATCCCACTACTAGGTATTTACCCAAAGGAAAAAAAGTCATTTTATCAAAAAGATACTTGCACTAAAATGTTTATTGCAGCACAATTCACAATTACAAAGATGTGGAATCAGCCGACGTGCCCATCAATTCATGAGTGGATTAATAAAATGTGGTATATATATATACACCATGGAGTACTACTCATCCATAAAAAAAACCGAATTAATACCTTTGCAACAATCTGAATGGAACTGGAGACCATTCTCCTAAGAGAAGGATTGCAATGATGGAAAAAAACCCACCATATGTACTCACTATTAAATTGGAACTAACCAATCAGCACTCATGTGCATAGATGGAAGTAAAACTCAATGGAAAACATGCAGGGGGGAGGGGGGAGGGGGGATGGGTGAAATCATACCTAACAGGTACAATGTACACTATCTGGGTGATGGGCACACTTACAACTTTGACTCAAGCAGTACAAAAGCAATCCCTGTAACCAAAACATTTGTACCCCCATAATATTTTGAAATTTTAAAAAAATTTAAATCTGGTTATCCCCCTTTTATAAGAAAATTTCAAATTTTTAGAAGATGATGCTTTTGTGTCAGCCTTCTCATTTTAGGATTGAACAAATAGTTTTCTCAAAGGCAGATTAAAGCTAAATTTCTCCTTCCAGACTCTGCACACACACACATATACACACACACCCACACCCACACACACCCCATTCCCCTAGTTTCCAACTCTCTGGGAGTCTGTCCTTTAGTGATGTCATTTTCTGTTAGAATACTCATAAACTGGCTCATTTCTGTGCATTAGATGAAATAAATGCAATTTATCTGACAGCAGATTGTTATAAAAATAGGTGAATCATTTAAAAATATATCTGGCTTCTGCAATTTAAGACATATACTTAAGGGCTGATAACTAGAATCTACTTAGAACTCAGGAAAATCAACAAGAAAAAATCAAACAACCCTATCAAAAAGTGGGCAAAGGACATGAACAGAAACTTTTCAAAAGAAGACAGAATAATGGCCAAAAAACATATGAAAAAATGCTCAACATCTCTAATCATCAGGGAAATGCAAATCAAAACCACAGTGAGGTATCACTTATCTCCAGTGAGACTGGCTTTTATCAAAAAGTCCCAAAACAATAAATGTTGGCGTGGATGCGGAGAGATAGGAACACTCATACACTGCTGGTGGGACTGCAAACTAGTGCAACCTCTGTGGAAAGCAATATGGAGATACCTTAAAGAGATACAAGTAGAATTACCATTTGATCCAGCAATCCCATTACTGGGCATCTATCCAAAAGATCAAATGACACTCTATAAAAAAGACATCTGCACCCAAAAGTTTATAGCAGCACAATTCACAATTGCAAAGATGTGGAACAACCCAAGTGTCCATCAATACATGAGTGGATTAATAAAATGTGGTATATGGTACTATTCAGCTTTAAGAACCAATGGTGATATAGCACCTCTTGTATACTCCTGGATAGAGCTGGAATGCATTCTACTAAGTGAAGTATCCCAAGAATGGAAAAACAAGCACCACATGTACTCACCATCAAATTGGTATTAACTGATCAATACATAAGTGCACATGTCGGGGAGGGAGGAGGAGGGGACGGGTATATGCATACACAAAGAGTGCAATGCGCACCATCCGAGGGACGGACACACTTGAAACTTGGACTTGGGAGGGGGGCAAGGGCAACATATGTAACCTAAACATCTGTACCCCCATAATATCCTGAAATAAAAAAAATACATTTTATGGTATTCTAGCCTTGCTTTGCCATTTTTGATGGCAAAGTAATCATTTTTAACTGCCAAATGTGTGGCTTTATTGATCACCTTTGCTTACCTGGGCCTATATTTTAATCCATAGGTGACGGTGCACAGCTGGATTTCGATGCCCTGTGTGACAATGACGACACAGCGATGGCTGCATTCATGAATTATTTAGAAGCAGAGGGGGGCCTCGGAGACCCTGGGGACTTCAGTGACATCCAGTGGACACTCTAGCATTTGTTTTTTAACTCCAAAAATGAGAAACGTTTTAAAGCATTTCACTTACAAAAAAAAAATCTGTCTATTCTTCTGTACTGTATTGATACTGTTTTTATCTTTTATTAATGGTCTACCAATTTTTATAGATTTGTACCTTACTCTCACAGGGGTGTGGGGAAATACTATGTTTTCCTCCCAAGGGAACCAGAGTTCATTACAGATCCCTTTACTCAATGTAATGGCTTAAGATCCACGAATTGCCATATTTTTGCTAAAATATTTCTAACCAAGAGTATCACATATTGTTTTGGTTTTGTTTTTATTTTTGATGCAGTTTTTTTGAGTTTGAGTAATGTAATATTTTGACATTTTCCCTTGTGTCTAAGATTCATCTGTAATAGATTTATAGTACGTTTGTGCAATCTGCACATTTCTATTCCTTGTGCATTTCCTTAATTAAGGATAGGGCTTACACACTTCAAGAAAATGGTGAGTACTTGAACATTTAAAGGGACAGTGCAATTTATACTCATAATCACAAAGAATACTATATTCAATCTTTGTAGACTTAGGGAAGCACAGAGCCAGGATATCTGTGCTTAATCAAGCACTTTAAGAAAGATTTTAAGTGAGATGATTTCTTACTTAAAACTCAGAAAATGTCAAAAAAGTTTCAACTTTGCTTATAGAAAAGGAAGGATCTTGGGCCCTAGATCTTAGTGATTAACCTTTTCATGTAAGATTTACTCTTAATATAACCACTGAAGATTTTCATTATAGATGGAAGTTTTTAACATTGAAAACATGCTTAGCAATAGATTAGTCCCAGAGGAAAATAGAGGCCCAGGCAGATTAAATGTCTTGTGTAAAGTCACACATTCAATTCCTATACTTTTTTTTTTTGACTATAAATATGATTTATTCCTGAACTTTTAATTCTTATCCATTTTCTATCCTTAATTCCTATACTTTTTAATATTTAATGTATATAAACCAGACACATTTGGGAATGCAGTGGTCTCACTGGTTAAATGATTAACTGACCCAAGAACTTAGTTACAGCCTTCTAGATTATTAGGCAATTAGGTATTATTGCCTGTTACCAAAGGTAATGAAATAAATGGCAAGTACATTTTTTAAATCACGAGGCAATGAGAAATAATTTAAAAACCAATTTTCTAATTATAATTGAAAAAATGAAGAGCATTTTTTAACAATAATTAATCCAGAGGGTTCAAATTTAGTGTAAGGATTATTTAAAATACTGAATATCGACCTTCTTGGGGATCGTACTTTTATAATACTTTGTTTTAATAGCTCTTTATGGTTTACCAAGTATATTCCCATATATTCTCTTTTGTGCCTCACAAATGGGAGAAAGGCAGACTGAGAAACTAATGGGGAAGCCCTCAGGCTTTGATGTGGGGTTCAAATCCAGTTTCCTTTTTCTAGATGGTGCTACATGTTTCCAGCAAATTTCCCTCAGAGCCCCTCATTAAAACAATGCATTATTTTGACCCCGCATGCTATTTCTTTAGCTGTAGGTGATAGATTGGAACTTTCATCAGACATGTTAACAACAAGCATACCAACAGGCAATAACCAAAAGCAAATGTTTCCTTCCAGTGTGAAATTTGCGGTGGCTGTGTGAGCAAGGATGTATTGGCATGTCCTGTTGGGCTGATACAGTGTTCCAGCAACGTAGGAGAGTCAGCAGCATTTCTGTTCTGACGCTTGAGGACTTCAGTGACATCCAGGTTTAGAATAAGCCAAAGAGATCCTACAAGATGGAGGGGATTGGTGTGCAGAAGCCTAAGCATCATAGTTAAGTCTGAAGAAGCATGAAAGACCATGTCAGTTTTCTAAGTCAGGCCTGCCTACCGATATAACTTCTTAGGGGACCACACCATTGCAGGTTAAGTTTGGCTTACAAAGAGTCTACCTCAACCAGTGGTAGCAGGATAGGTCAGTGTGGCTGGATGGCCTCAAAAGCAAATGGAGCAAACCCCATGGCTTAAGGATTTGAGAGGCAGAGGTTCTAGAGACGGACCAATGCTGCCTTGCGCAGTGGCAGGTTTTTTCCTTGCATGAGAAGGGGTTATTACTTGGACCAATGAGCAGGTAGCCAATCGAATGCTCTGTGTGTGCTTTGAGCCTTTAATAGTCCACTGTAATAATTTTCTGCAGATCCTCTTGTCCTGGACTCAGAATCCAATCCATGCATTGTGTGCTACCATAGCTCTCTCAATGTAGCCTCTTCAAAATGCATTCCATTAACTAAATTTGATTGCTGTTAGGAGTGACACATTTTTATGGCTTACCCTATATTACTTTTTCCTCTTATAAATCAATTTCTCAGATTTTTTGTGAGAAATACATCTTCAAATTGCATAAAAGTGTCATAAAAAACAGTACTCTTTTTTTTTTTTTTAAAGAATTACCACTACAATCACGTAGTGGAGTGGGAAAAGTGCCTAGAATCCGAAGACCCTTTGCGGCCTGAATTTAGCTGTGTGACCTCAAGCAAGCTATTTAAACTCTCTGTGCCTCAGTTTCCTCATTTTAAAAAAGAGGTTGGATCTCTAAGTTTACTTCCATCTCTGAGTTTATGATTCTAATCCGCAGTACTTGAGCATTAATTTAGGTGGACTCTAGAACTGTGCTGTCCAGTGCTGTAGCCACGAGCCACATGGGACTACTGAGCACCTGAAATGTGGCCAGTACAAATTGAGATGTGTTGCCAATGTAAAACACATGTCAGATTTTGAACATTTAGTGTTACGAAAAGAATGTAAAATATCACATTAACAATTTTACATTAATTACATGTTCCAATGATAATTTTGGGTATACTAAATTAAACTTTAAAATTAATTTTACTTGTATCTTTTTACTTTTTTAATGTGGTACAAGAAAATTTAAAATTGCACCCTGTGGCTCACATCATATTTCTATTGGACAGCACTGCTCTAGAACGTTTTATTAAGTGGGTGTTATTGAAGTAGACCAAAGGTTATACCATAAGGATATTTTTCTCTAAATACTATGTTCAAAGAACAACTATTTATTGATCCTTGACTCAGTGTAATCAAATAACTGAGTCTCTATCCATGTACCAAATTTAAAATTTTCTGGAAAATAGTAAACTTAAAATTATCAGATATTTTATTACATGGTGATAGCTTAAAATCAAATAAAACTTGAGTTATATGGTCATCGTTAAATTTGGAAATCTATTGAGAAAGACAAACAGGAAAATACAGAATACAGGCTTTCAGTAAATAAATGAAGTTAAAGGGAAGTGTTTATTTACAGTGTCACAGCAGAAAAAGGCTGTATTGGTTGTCATAGTCTTTGAGAAATCTCTAGAATTCTGGGGCACGGGTGTATGAGATGGCCAATGTCTAGCTACCAGACGATGTTTCGCTGTGTCCAGTTTCAGATCCTACTGTAAAGAGGTATCTGTGACTCAGGTGGGTCATTATTGGGTTCTGGAATTGGAGACTCAGGTTTGCCCAGCACAGTGTTACAGGCAGAGAAGGGCTGACATCTAGAATTACCTAGAAGCCATAAAGAAAACTGCTAAGTGGCCACTAGGTGCCACTTTTCCATTTTGACAGTGCTTTGTTTTCATCAGTGGATTATTTTTTCCAAGCTCTGCAGAGCCTGTGAGAAGCATTTAGGACTTTTATGCCTAGAATAAGTCAGCCTGTCTGGTTAGCATTGTTTTATGAGAAATGCTTTCCAAGCACAGCCTAGGAAGATCTTTCTCACATAATGTAAGAACTTTGGCTTAGGGAGCTTTTCAGATGTGGTGCCAGTAAAAGCTGACCTAGAAAGAAAACCTATCCAATGTGGAATATGCTTTCTGAATTCATTCTAGAGCGGGTGGTATATGTCATCGTGCATATATCCTTGAGTTTAGTCTTTTATACAAATTTTAGCTCTTTTCCAGTTTACTTGATCTTGTCTGTATATTGGTATTTTTAAAATTTTGTGGTAAAAGTTGAAAAGTAAAATTAAATTATATTTTATAATAATTATTAGTTTGTAGTTTTTTTTTTTTAATTTAATAAACTTCTTCCAAAAAAGTATGTCCTTAACTACTTTCTAATGTGAAAACATAGATTAGGGAAACGATCTCAAACCACTGAGCAGAGAGGTGCATTGAACTACGTTACTATGTACATCTTGGGGTGTACTAACTGCTCTTAACAACTGCAAGATCTCGGTGGTTTATCCCAGTAAAGGTTTCTTTCTGCTCACATCACCATCCAATGTCCTCAGTGCTCTCGGTCCCTCTGACTATCTCTGCCTCTTCCTCTCTCCACCTCTCAGCTTTGCTGTCCCCTAAGCTGCTTTTATTCTCTGGCGGACCCTTTCCCCATAATGACATTCAGAACCCCACACATATTTATCCTTCTTACATCTGGCAATCTCAGTGGAAAGGGAGCGTCTCTATCTCCTAGTAATTCACACACATACGTCCACTGATTGGTCTGCATGGACTTTCCTGCGGTCAGCAGGCTGGAATACACAGACTGGCCAGGCTTTGCTCCCATGCCCTACCCTGGGTTGAAAGGTGATGAGTCAGGCCTGTTGGAATCCCATGAACAACACACTGGACTATCCTCTCCTCTCCCCAGGTTTACTCCTGCCGCCTTCTGATTTCAAGATTTTTCTTTTTTAAGCAGCAAAGGAGGCAAGAAAAGCTTTCTCTGCTGTACCCCTTTTAATCTTAATAAGAGGATTTGTTCTGTAAAATTTGGATTCTGTCAAAAGGCTGCATGTAAGGACCCAGAAGGCCACATTTCACCTTGAGGCCACAGGTTCCCCATCCCTGGCAGATGGCAGCAGGCCACAGCGGTCTCCCCCACAGAGCTTGTTACAGTAAACCTGGTGGGATACTGGGAGAGCCTGGACCAAGGTGAAGATGAAGAGAAGGACACAGACTCAGGAGACAGTTTTACAGAGATAGGGCTGCAAGAACTTGAGAACTAATTGGGTTGGGGAAATATTGAAACAAAAGCAGTGTATAACTGCAGTGCTTTTCAAGAAGGTAAGAAT